TTGCTTGTTTTTGTTGATTAAATAATTTTCCAACCCCATTTTTAAATATTTGAGCCCCTTCTTGAATGCTGTGTTCTTTTTTAGCTTTAACTTTAACTTGCACTTTAATTCATAAAAAGTAAGTCCTACCAGTGAACATTGATATTTTTAAATGGTAGGGGCAAACATTACTCAAATTTAGCTAGTTTTAGGGATAAATTATACCTTTAAAAATGGTTTAAAAGTAAAATTATGTCTTAACCCTTTTGTTTTAAACCAATACAATGACTTTGAACTTGCTTCGATTAATTACTAGTTTGTTTTTTTTTTTCTTCCATTTGTTAAAAAATAAATATCATTTTTAACTGAATTACATTCTTAATAAATTAGCTAATTAATTATTTTTGAAATAACACTTTTTTTCATACCTGCCCTTGTTTAATGAGTTTTTCACTTAATTAAAGGGAAATGGTTGAGTGATTTATTTATTAAAAATATTTTAAAAAATCATTAGTTACATATTAAAAACTTAAAAATGTCTTATATTTTTTAATAACCATTACATAAAAAATGTTTTATATTTTTTAAGAGAGTGAATAATTAAATGATTTATTTATTAAAAGGTTTTTTAAAAAAACTCATTAATTACACATTAAAAAACTAAAATTATCTTATATTTTTTAATGGTCTGAGCATTTTCTTTTTCCTTCCAAAAAATTAATTATTTCATACCTGCAATTTCACTAAATTTATAACTCAACTTTTGTAATTCAACTCATAGTGACTCATTATTTAATATTTAAATTATTAGCTCCTCGCATCGCTCATGGCTTTTAGTTTGGAAAAGTAGCTTCATTCCTCAATGAAACATAAGATGTAACAGTACGCCGAATTAACAGCGTTAAATTAGCTCAGATGTCATGGAGTTGGGAATTCGGAGGCCCCACCCTAACAGACCTGAACTTAAACATGCCTGACCTTATGAAAAGTCTAAATAATTAAACTTCACTTGAATTTCTTCAGGCTTTAGGTGGTTTAAATATTTAAATTTTATTTTTAAAAATATTTTTAATGAAAAATGACAGAAAAATATATTTAAATTAGATAAATGACAGATTGGTCCACAAAATGATAGAATTCCTTTGGAGTTTCTTGGGATCTTTTTGTCATTAAAAAATTAAAAGAAATGACACTTTTACCCAGACATGCATCAGAGTTAAAAATTTGTAAATCTCCATTTACTACTTTTGGTTCTAATATTAACAAGTTTTATCTCTAAATTTGCAACAATTTATTAGCTATTTGCAAGTCTTAATATGCAAGTCCAGGCAAGCATCAAAGTTAAAAATTCGCAAGTCTCCATTCACAACTTTAGTTCTCAAGTTAACAACTTTTGTCTCTAAATTCAAACAATTTATTAGCCATTTATAAGTTTTGGTGTGCAAGTTTAGACAAGCATCAGACTTGAAAATTCACAAGTTTTATTCATAACTTTGGTTCTTAGGTTGACAATTTTTGTCCCTAAATTTGCAACAATTTATTAACTATTTGCAAGTGCTGGTGTGCAAGTCCAGACATGCATCAGAGTTAAAGATTTGCAAGTCTTCATTCACAATTTTAATTCCAATATTAATAAGTTTTGTCCCTAAATTTGAAACTATACAACAAGAAATTATAATTTATCAGTACCCTTTAAGTAAGCATCAGTACCCACGTTTTTTAGCTTTAAGCATGGAGATAAAATGAAGATCTCAATCATTTACGCACAATAACCCACATCAACTTTAACTATCACATATGGGAAGAGAAAATTTCAAGAAGGAGAGAAAATTTATCCACATACAGCAGATGCAACAGAGAAAGAATGTTTGCTTATATGTATACCTGCTCATAGCAGCCAAATAAAACAAACAACCCACATATAGAAACTAAGAAAAAAAAAAAGAACAAAAGAATGAGAAGAAGAAGGAGAAGAAGAGGGAGAGGGAGAGGGAGATGGAGAGGGACCAAAAGAATACTACGAATTAAGGTGTGAATGGAGAACTCAAAAACTCGAGAGGGACCAGAAAAATTCGCAAGTTTCTTCTGTGAAGATTGGGTTTTTGGTTACTTTGAGGGCAATTTGGTCATTTCATTTGATTCTCTAATGACAAAAAAGATGCTAAGGACACTAGGAAAATTATACCATTTTATGGGATCAATTTGTTATTTACCCAATTTAAATGGATTTTTCTGTCATTTTTCCTATTTTAATTAATTTTTTACTTTAAAATTAATTATTTTATTTTATAAAAAATGTAAATATATTTTTTGATATGTTAATGATGTATAGGACTCAAATATATGGTATTTTAGTATAAAATAACCTAAAACTTAAATAATTAATTATAATTTATATATTTTTAAAAATAAATTTCTTTTGGGCCTACCAAACATAAAAAAAACTATCTTTTTTTTAATCTTGATCCTAAATTTTTTTAAGTAGATTCATATTAGCCTATTAAGTTTGGTCTGAATTGTTAAACTCTAGATGACATCCTAATTTTCAAGAAATTAAAGTGGAATAGAAGGGTTTGAAGACACGAAAAACAAACGGACTTAATTACAGCTACAGAAGGGGGAGAAATAATACACGTTGTCGTTTGACTACTTTTATTACTCTCGTGGGTTGTGGCGGCTTTCTATATTGGAACAATTGAAAAAAATTATATACCTAATTTAATATATTTAATATTTTTATTCTCAATTAAATTATTGCGTGTAAATAATTTCATTAATATATTAGGATTCATCTATTATGATTTAATTTAACATAAATATGTTAAATATAAACGGTTAGGTACATAAATTATACTTTACAACAATTTTTCATTGCTTACATTATTACTCCATCGCCCCCACCCTCTCTCCCTTAGACTGCGTGGACTTCGCTGTTCTAATTTTTATCCCTTCTCCTTGACTCCTTCCAACATAAAACCTTCCACACTTTTTACAGTTACAAGAGAAAGTAAGGAGAAAAAAAAAAGAGTGAAAAAAAAATAAAGAGATGTGATTTTCTCTTTTTATATATATATACTTGGCTGACCAAGTCCTTAAGAAAAAAAAAAAGAAAAAAATTGTTTATTTTATATGAACGATAATAATTTTATTATTTATAAAAAATATTTAGATATAATAAAGCTTAAAATTTTAAATATGATTTATATAATTTTAATTATTTATTACTAATGGAATAAAAATATAATTGCAAATTATTTTATCTAATTTTAATTTTATTTGTAAAAATATTAAATATAAATAATTTAAAAATTTTAAACTATAAATGACCAAATATATAGATGAAAATGGAAGGAGATAAGAGGTGGGAAAAATATATATATATCCATGAGTAATTTTGAAATTGGAGTTTTCTTTTCAAAATCTCTCCATTTTTAAAGAGGAAAGTGGGAAAATGAAAATATGTGAGTTTTATAAGTTATTTTCTCCTCAATTTCTTCTCTATTCCATTTTTCTTTCCTTGACAAGGAAAAATATAGAGCTTGTTTGATTTTGTCATTGGGAGAATGACAAAGAAATTCCAAAAAAATTAATTAATTTAAATTAAGTCTCAAATGTCAAATTCTAGAATCTTGTAAATCAATCTCTTAATTTACAATTATATTGTTTTGGATTTGTAACTTTTTTTTTTAACTTCAACATGGTTGAAGAATAAAAAATTTATTTTTTCTTTTGAAATTTAGAATATAAATTATAAATTCATTACAATGAAGTAGCAAAATTGAGAAATTAAATTATAAATTCTTAAAATTTAAGATTTGAGATCTAACTTAAATTAATTGATCATTTTAAAACTTCCCAATCATTCTCACTTTGTCATTTCTATAGTACTATTGTAGTAAAGGTGCTGTGGTGGGCAAACCACTGTTATGAACTTATGATTGGGCTCACAACAGTTATAATTCTTCTTGCTTGTTTTTGTTGATTATTAAACGATTCTCTAACCCATCTTCAGATACATGAGCCCCTTCTTGTGATGCTGCGTTCCTCTTTAGCTTTGGCTTCAACCTCACACCCTTCAAATTTAGCCATTCATCATTCAAATAATTCAGCTTTGCTACATTCATATTCATCCACATCATACGACTAAATTTAGTCATTCGACGTTTATATTCAATCTTGTGACATACCTCATAATCACACTGTTGGCCATACGCATATCAGTAGCAACGATGTTCTTCATAAGCGTTCAGCCAATAGCCTTCACAATCCTATTGATGTCGAATCATAATGATTTCGACAATCCCTACACGGGCATTCTCGGTATAAACCCAAATAAAATCATGAATGTAAAATTTAGGAATTACCTTCAAATATTCCACGTGTGGGACCTTGGCTATGGTACTAAATCAAACGATAGAATATGGATAAGAGTAATTCCATATTTAGAATAATTTTATTAGGATTATTTGAACCAGTATATTAATTAGATTATCCATTAGATTATTTAATATTTAATTGCATTTTTTTAATTTAATAATCAAACATCTGAATATAATTGAGAAACCCTAAAATTATTTATAGAGCCTTTTAAATATTAAAATAATAATTAAATATTTCAAATTTCAATCCTATATCTAATTCAAATTTTAAAGGTGCTGATAGGATATTCTAAAACAACCTGAATGAAGGTAAAGATAAAAAAATTAATTAAATCCTAAATAGTCTAATGAATATTCTAAATATCTTTATTTAAATAATCTTAATGAAATAATTCTAAACATAATTTCCTTTCAAATGATTAGAAAGGGTTTAAGCCACGTAATCCAGCAAGGAGGGAATTCATTTCTTCTACAACCAATCCAATCAGATTAGGTTTTCATATATAGCAAGGTCAATCCTTCAATAACAACTATTCTTGCAACAAGTTACCTTTGAAAAATCTGATCAATAATCAATGTCATATGTGGTCCATGCGCTCAAATCACGAGAAACAAAATAAAGCTGGAAAAATAAAAAGAAAAGAAACTAATTCCAGTTATATATAACAGAGAATGCACACGTGTATATAAATGCATGACGAACAAAGATTACATTAAGTAACAAGGCACGTTTTCCCAACTTCAACGTACAAGTTAAAACATAAGAGACATAAAATAATAAAGGAACCAGACATTATGACAAGGTCAAACAATCAGCACGATTTCTGCACATTCTCCTTAGCTTTGCTAGTTTAAGTACATAGGTCACATGTATTTCATCTGCAACATCATCCACTCTTTGGAAGCAAGCATATCTCCAGCTTTTCTTCAAAACTAAAGTTCCAATGACAACCCAAAAGCCAGTAGCAAAGCCAACTGCTACTACAAAGTAAAACCACACTTTTTCAGAATCATTTTCGTCTTCAGAGTCTTTGCTTTCATGAACTTGATCATCATTACCACCAGGACACTTGTTCAGAAGTGGAACTCCACAAAGATAAGGGTTGCCGACATACATAGAATAATCATATTGGTGATTCAAAGTTGAAATCTGGTTTCCTGTTGGAATTGATCCTGAGAGATTGTTGTACGACATGTTTAAGTAGCTTAAAAATGTTAGACTAGACACACTATCAGGAATCCTGCCAGAAAAGTGATTCCAAGAGATATCAAACGATTCGAGTGATATAATATCTCCCATTCTTTGAGGAATCTCTCCTTTCAAATGGTTGTGTGAGAGATTTAAGCCAAGCAATCCTATCAGTTGAGTTATTCCTTCAGGAACAGATCCTACCAAATTGTTGCTAGACAAATCCAAATTCACTACAAACTTCAGGATCCTGACATAGTCAAGAACTGTGCCCTTCATAACTTGCTCAACATTCTTAGTAAGCCACTCGTCGACGAAGTTAATTTTAAGAACATTAAAATCAAATTTTAATCTCGCTTCATTAGACAAGTAGGGTTTAGTCATTCCTTTAAGATTGCTGATACAATCAGGTATTGAACCTGTCAAGTTGTTACAAGCAAGGTCCAGGATTTGGAGGGATGTGAGTTGACAAATCTGTGAAGGAATGCTTCCACTCAACTTATTTTGTCGTAGTCTGAGAATTTTCAATGATGAAAAAGTGTTCTCAGTCCATGGTGGTATACTTCCGACAAGTTGATTGTCACCAACATCCAGAATTAACAATTGCTTTAAATTCTTCAGTGAGAGAGGAAGCTTCCCTTGAAGGCTATTATTGTTCAAATGCAACCACAACAATGAGGAAAGGTTACAAAATGTGCTTGGAAAGCCACCTGATAGTTTGTTCGATGACAAGTTTATTTCATCCCATTGTTGATTATCCCTCCAACAATCTGGAATTTCTCCAGAAAATTGATTCTTCGAGAGATCAAGTTGATACAAGGTGTTAATCTTGCACAAGGAGTTTGGTATTGAACCATTTATAAAGTTATTTCCAAGAAGCAAATACTCCAAGTTAGGCATTATATCAAAAATGCTGTCAGGCAATGATCCAGTAATTTGGTTGCCATAGAGATTCAAGATTTTGAGTTGCTCAAATGAAGGCCATTCTTTTATATTAGAAATGTCTCCCGTCAAATTGTTTGAAGAAAGATCTAGTTGAACCAGCTTCACAAGTTGACTGAAAGTGTTCGGAATGTTTCCATGTAAATCATTTTTGGCAAGAGCAAGGTATTCCAGATGTACAAGTTGACCAAGACTCTGTGGAATGATGCCTTTGATGTGATTATTTGAAAGATCAAGTAATTGCAAGTTCACAAGTTGTGCAAGATTATTTGGGATAGCCCCTTCCAATTGATTGCCAGAAAGTCGCAAGTAAGTTAGGTTCACAAGCTGTGCCAGACTATTGGGAATTGATCCATTCAAGCGATTGTTAACAAGATCAAGTCTTGTCAAGCGTGACAATCTTCCCACGGAAAAGGGAATGGGACCATAGATTGAGGTTATTGATATATGAAGATCTCTTAGATTTTCAAGTTTCCCCAACCAGCTAGGTAAACTGTCATTAAATTTGTTGTAGCTCAAATCAAGTTGCTCTAAATCATACTTGATGCACCCAGATAATCCATACCTTCCAAATGCTGCTCCTTGAAACTTGTTATTTGAGAGATCTAAAGTTCTTAAACGGCACATGTTCCTTAGAATCAATGATAGAGGAGATTCTAAAGTAGTGAGATTATTTGAGGCAAGAGATAGGTTGTGAAGGTTGTTTAGCTCACTTAACCACGATGGAACAGAACTTGTAAGACTGTTTGAAGAAAGGTCAAGCACTCTTAAGGAAGATAAGTTTTGAAGAGCAAGAGGAAATGGGCCAAGAAGTGAATTTTGAGCAACATTTAGTTCCACAAGGCTATCAAATTTACTCAACCACATGGGCAATGAATTGATAGCGTTGAAAGAAAGGTCAAGGAGTCTAATAGAAGTCATGTTTTGAACAACATCAAGACTATGACTATCTATTGCATTGTCTGTAAGATACAACACTTGAACCTTTCGAGGATAGGAGAAATTAAGAGAGTGGTGAAAAGGGATCAAGGTGTGAATTCCACATTGAGCTAAATACAGATGTGATAAAGAAGGAAGCATGTAAAGTACCTGGAATAAATCATGTGCTTTTCCGAGGTCAACGACCCTCAGGTCAAGATGTTGCAGTGATTGAAGCCCAGAAACCCAACTCATGTCATTGAGATGGAAATCATTGTAGCTGAGATCGAGATGGATTAGTAGGTTGGTGAGATTTCTGAGACTATAAGGAATCTTCCCACTGAAATTAGCATTAGAAAGGGAGAGATATCTTAGCTGATGCATAGAAGCAAAGAAGGTAGGAATCGAAGAGGCATGAAATTGATTATGACTCAGATCCAAGTAACTCAAGCGCTCTAGTTGCATGAGAGATGGTTCAACGTGTGAAGCTTCAAGAACTAGTTGGCTAAAGTCACACAAATCACATGGATTCAGGTCAAGCTTGAGAACATGGCCAGTAAGATTGTCACAAGCCACACCATCCCAATAACAACAATCATTGGAATTCCAAGAAGAAAGCCTATTTGCTGGATCAATGATTGTAGCTTTGAACTTTAGAAGAGCTTGCCTCTCTTGTTCTAAGCATATCGCACTTGAATTTTCACACAAGCATAATTGTGCAATTTCGAACAGCAAGAGAATAGCAAAATAATGGACGGTCAAAGATCTAGCCATAGTTTGCTTGTGATTTAGTGTGGCTTTTTCTTTAACAACATATAGAAAAACCACACACAAAATAATATGTGCTAACTATTTCACTCGTGATTGTGGGCCGGGTTAACTCATGTATATAAAATATGTTTTTCTTGTCATACATGTCATGGAACGTCACACATTTCTCCTTGTCTGGATCGATGGATACAAGCATATTGAACAGAAAATTAGGTGGAGGATGGAAAATAAGCAATGTTAATTTATTTATTCTTTTTAATCTAAAAGGATCATATCCATTGACTGACTGAGGTTTCTTACAAAATACAGGGCATGCTTATCAGCAATGACTGGCTAACTACTGCAATTAAAATAACGTAAGGTAGTGCTCATACATAGATCACCTTGAAGTTCATTCCAATAATTTTAGCACCACATATTTCTTATAATTTTGGACTACGTATTTGATACCTTTTGTTTGAAGCAACGCTTTCAATAGCGACTGATTCAAACTCAATAATTTAGTACACTCGTCAACATTCAATTTCTCAATGTTCACTGTTCAGCCTAGCAGATTAATAATTTAACAAACTTGTCAACAATTTATTGCTCAATGTTTTTTGACCCCCAAAAAATAAATCCATTTTCAATGTGTCGTTATTAATTTAAGCTTGTGGAGTAGAAGCTAGTGTCGTGGCAGTCTTCGAGGAAATTCAGGAACATCCGTCAAAATGTCATAAGCAAATAAACAAAGTTACACAATAACCTCCTTGACCATCTGCAATTTACCTGCTTTGCTTCCGTACTTTTCTTCGACGAAGTCAAACATTTTTAATTCAGCAATTTCTGAAGTATAGGTGAAGTAGAAATTGTCATTGACTTGAATCATATAAAAAGATGTCGTTCTTAAAAATTATATATTCTGCCTTGATTAATTTTCATTTCTTATTTGTTATTAGATTGTTTTTAGACTCAAATCCAAAAAATAGGTACTAGAAACTCTATGAATTATAATATTATTTATAATTTATGTTAAATTGCTATATGTAGCGTTATTTTTGTTTGGTCCTATTAAATGGGCTATATGTGCAAAAGTTTCTTTTATGAATTAAAATTGCTTTCAAAAAATTAATTTTTAATAACATAAATTAAAATTAAAATTATATTTTATGTTTTAGCTTTTCAAAAGATCTAAATTATACTCTCCCATTTAAAAATATAAGATATTTTTAAAAAAATTAAAACAGTGGTAGAGCCAAGATCCAAAGTCAAGAGGTGTGAGACAACTCAATTTAAAAAATAATTACAGTAGACAAAAAATATAATAACTTAAGTAAAGTTATGCATATTTTTATTTGAAAAAATATACTAAAGATTTGTTTGAGCAAAAAAATGTGTTGAGAAAGGTGATATAGAGTTAATTTAAAAAAAAAAAGGAAAGAAAGCTATTACCTAAAAGGACGACTTTAATAATATATCTAATGAATATAAATTTTTTTGTTTAAATTTATAGAATATGAGTTAAAATATCATTTATTTAAGAAGTGTTTGAACCCAAATAATTTTTATTAAGTGTAGAGGGTTCAAAATTCTAAAACTAGGGATGTAAGATTGTAATTTATGTAGCTCCATCATTGAATTGGAATTTGGATGTTAAAAATATAATATTTTTTTAGTATTTCAAGGTTAATAAATAAATTACTTTATATTTATTTTAAAATAAAATATCCTATTAAATAAAGGTAAATATAAAAAGATAATATTAATTTAAAGACGATTGAATACTTTATTGGGTGCAAGATGTGATTAAAAATATCTTATTTTTTAAAAAATAAAATGTTAGTAATATTTTTTCTATATATAAAATAAATTGTGTGAAAATAAAATAAATTATTATTTATATTTATATATTTTAATAACTAAAAATTATAATATTATACTAGGGATAAAAAATATAATTAATAGAAGTTATTAAAGAAATTAAAAGCTATAGTTAATTTTACTTGTCGTATAAAAAAATGTTATAGCAAAAAAAATTATAATAATAATAATAATAATAATAATAATAATAATAATAATAATAATAATAATAAGTGTATATTTATAAGTTGGTGTTCAATAGTGGTTATATTAATTGGAAATATGTATAGTAAGGAGAAGTATTGGCTCAGTGGAGGCGATAACCAATACTGGGGAAAAGTTTTTATTTCTTTTATCTATATGAAATTACCATCTTGTCCTCCTTCTCATTTGATAAATTTTCTTTCATTTTTCTTATCCGATTGGTATACATACACACAGAGAGAAAGTTTGAGACTGTGCAATATTATTCTCCAACCTTCTACCATAACCGACTATCTCTCTCTCCCCTCTTTACTTCTGGCTATCACCGACGATGGAGAAGGTTCACCACTACTCAGTGATGGTTAGACGCTCCTTCACGCAGACAGACTCTGTTTTTCTTCTTCTTTTCTAGTTTGTTGCTTCCCTGTGCTGTTCACGTTCAAGCAGCTGTTAGAGCGAAGGACCAGGTCGTTAGAGCTAGAGGACTCTACTCGTAAGTTCTTCCTTTCCTAGCTCAACCGTGAGCTTTGTGTTCTGCTTTGCTGTTACGTACTCCCTGTTTTCGCGTTCTCCCTGTATGCTGTTCGGTCCGGGTGTTCTGAGCTGAAAAATCACAAAGCATCAAAACTAGAGTAGATTTATTGTTGTAAGCTTGTATCGGTGCTGTGGAGTCAAGCTCCTTTCATTGCTGTACATCGTGACAGTGTTCGGATTATATCTCCCCTGTTTCAGCCGGCTGTTGCAATTTCTTCATCTTGGTTTTCTGTTGTGGTGAGTCAAGGTGAAAAGGCTTCACGTTTAGGCTTCTTTTACCTTGTATATATGTGAACTGGTGATTAAAGTAGCAGAAAAGAATTTGGCTTCCCTGTGACTGTGTATGGCTGTACGTGGCTGACAAAAAAAAAGGGAATATATATTATGCATGCCTTTTGTTACTGTTATGTCGTGCTGTTATAGGAGGGAGAAAATTCAAATTTAAGTTGGAAGTTTGTTCAAAGACTTGCTGTGTGTGTGTGTGTGTGTGTGTGTGTGTGTGTGTGTGTGTGTGTGTGTGTGTGTGTGTGTGTTGGTGTGGGTCATAATCCTACGAGCTAAATGGATTTGAATTGAAGTGAATATGGTTAAAGAAAATATTAACGAAAGGTAGGAGGAGAGTGATTTGGATATATAATTTAAATAATTAGAATTTATGCACCTAAAGTAATTGGTGCAAAACCTATAAAAAAAATTTACCTCAAAAGTGGGAAAGGTTGTAAGTATGAAGGATAATGTTTGGTGGGAGAAGTATATAGTGTGCAAGCTATGGAATCACGAATGGATGGTTTGGCTAAAACAAATTGGTGGGGACTAGAGATGTTAACGATAACACTTGGATCAATTCTAAATATGATGGTGATTGATTTGGAATTATGTTAAAAAAAAATTCATTTATTTATATATATATTCTGATAGGGTGTGAGGAAGAACGGGACCCTGACCAAAATTAAAGGCAGGGAACATTTTGAGAATTTAAAGCTTCAACAAGTAAGTGAATAGTGTTCCCTTTAATCTATTTATTGGTATTTTATTTTCAATAAAATTTTCATTGAGATATTTTATTCTTGTGAATTACATTAGTATTGAAACTTTGTGATATCGATACGAGATGTTTAAAGAAAGGTATATGCATTTGTTTCCTCAGGGAATGTGTTTCAAAGAGTTATAGAATGAGTTGGTTTATTAAACTCTTGAAATCCTTGATTATTTAAACAACACAAGTTCGTATATTATTTTATAAAAGACTATTTTCAACAGGTCTTAAATTGAAATTTAAAGTGATGCATGTGAGTTTGGTATTGGAAACGCAGATTATATTTCAGAAATAATTATTTTTCTCGCATGTTTGAAACACGATTTTTGAGAGGACTTTAAACAGAACACTGCTGCTAACGGTAGTTCCGTTAGCCCGTAGCGCGTTGTGGTTAAACACTAGCTAGTTTGTTTCATGAGTTTGATTCTCATGTTTGGTATTCGTGGGCTTCGTACCCGCGTTTGATTCTGTGGCCTGAGCCGCGTTTGGTTACTTACCCTCGTGGACTGTGTGTCCACGTTTGTTTCGTAGCTACGACTGCGTTTGGTTACTTACCCTCGTGAACTAGTGTGTCCACGTTTGTTTTTGTGGCATAAGCTATGTTTGGTTATTTACCCTCGTGGACTGAGTGTCCACGTTTGTAACCTGTTCTGTTGAGTTCTCAAAATTTTAAATGTTGATTAATATGTGTTTTTGAAATTTACTTAATTTTGACTAGTAATTTGTATCACTTTGAGTTATATGAGAGCAGATTGTTTTCTTGAAGCATGATAACATAAATTGTTTTTAATTTACTTTTATTTTATAAATATGGTTATGACTTACATGTTTATAAATTTTGGTGGAATTGCTTTTAACTAGTTAACACCATTATTAGAGATTATTGAAAAAAAAATTTAAGAATTTTCCTCATGGGAATGCTATTCACTGGAAAATTATTTCGGCATCAGATTTGTTAGCTGACGCTGATCCCACCATCGACCTCAAAAAGGGCAACTAGCTACAGTGGGTGGACCTTTTTGATTGGTATTGTTGCTTTAATGTAAATATATGATTTGTATGTCGTTTTGATTTGAAAGAAAGGGTAGATGCTCCATATAGGTTGTTGATAAATCTTATTTTTGATCTGTATATTGGTTGATGGCTGGAAGGAGCTATGCTCCTAAATTATACTGGTATTTGTAAAAGAAATTTTTGTTGTAGAATTTTCGGCAGATCCTAGTTACAGGGGGGTTCTGTCGAAATTTTTACAAAAACGTTGACACTTTCTTATGATAATGAATTTAATTATTTTAATTCTCATATGATTTGATTGAATTTTGTTCTTTTCTTAAAAAAAATGGAATAAATATTCACTTGGAGGCTTACAGGAATGTGAGAGTGGTTCACACC